CCTTTGTGCTATTGTCATACCAATTACAACTTCATGCACTGTGTGTCTATCACATAGATTCATAGTCACTGCTGCATGTAGCTATTTTTTAAGGCAGACGAAAAAGTTGCAAGCTATATATCTATGTTGATGCTTTTTTTTGAGACACAGTCTCTCTCTTTCACCTAGAGTGGAGTGCGTGGCCTGATCTTGGCTCACTCACTGCAGCCTCTGCCTCCAAGGTTCAACAGATTCTCCTGCCCTCCTCCCATTCCAAGTAGCTGAGATTACAAGCGCATGCCCCCATGCCAGGCTAATTTTTCTATTTTTAACAGAGACAGGGTTTCACCGTGTTAACCTGGCTTGTCTGGAACTCCTGACCTCAGGTGATCCGTCTGCTTCGGCCTCCCAAAGTACTGGGATTACAGGCATGAGCCACCACACCTGGCCTGTTTATGCTATTTTTTAAAAAGTTTTAAATGATGGTAAAAGCACATAAATTTTACGATCTTAACCATTTTTAAGTCTTCAGTTCAGTAGTAGTATATATATTCACACCGTTGTGCAGCAGAGCTCCAGAACTTTTCCACCTTGCAAAACCGAAACTCTGCACCCATTAAACAACTTCCTGTTTCTTCCTCCTTCCAACCCTTGGCAACTATTCTATTTCTGTGAATTTTATTACTTCAGATTCCTCATGTAAGTGGAACCACACAGTATTTGTCTTTTTGTGGCTGGCTTATTTTATTTATCATTGTCCTCAAGTTTCGTTAATGTTGCAGCATGTGAAAGAATTTCCTTCCTTTTGGGGTTGGGTGCAGTGGCTCACACTTGTAATTTCAGCACTTTGGGAGGCCAAGGCAGATGGATCACCAGCTTGGCCAATGTTGTGAAACCCTGTTTCTACTAAAAATACAAAAATTAGGTGTGGTTTGGATGCCTGTAATCCCAGCTACGTGGGTGGCTGAGACAGGAGGATTCCTTGAACTTGGGAGGCGAAAGTTTCAGTGAGTCAAGATTGTGCCATTGCACTTCAGCCTAAGCAACAAGAGCAAAACTCCATGTCAAAAAAAAAAAAAATCATTCCTTTTTAAAGCCAAATGACGGGCCAGGTGCAGTGGCTCACACCTGGAATCTGAGCACTTTGGGAGGCTGAGGCAGGTGGATCACTTCAGCTCAGGAATTCAAGACCAGCCTGGCCAGCATAGCAAAACCCCGTCTCTACAAAAAATTAGCCAGGTGTTATATTTAGTCCATTCTCATGCTGCTACGGAGACATATCCAACACTGGGTAATTTGTAAAGGAAAGATGTTTAATTGACTCACAATTCAGCATGGCTTGGGAGGTCTCAGGAAACTTACACTCATGGTGGAAGGGGAAGCAAACACATCTTTATTCACATGGCAGCAGGAAGGAGAATGAGTGCCCAGTGAAGGGGGAAGTGCCTTATAAAACCATCAAGTCTTCTGAGAACTCACTATCGCAAGAACAGGATGGGGGAAACCAACCCTATGATTCAATTATCTCTACCTGATTCCTCCCATGACAGGGGAGGATTATGGAAACTACAATTTAGGATGAGATTTGGGCAAAGATACAGCCAAACCATATCAGCTGTGGTGGTGTGCACCTGTGGTCCTAGCTACTCGGGAGACTGAGGTGGGAAGATGGGATGGAGCTTCCAGTGAGCTGAGATCTCAACTCTGTACTCCTCTCCAACCTGGGTGACAGAGCAAGACCCTGTCTCAAAAACAAAAAAAACTAAACTAAATGATACTCCATTGTGTGTGAGTGTTCATATACACCACATTTTGTTTATTATCTTTACCTATGTGGTTACCTTTACTGGTATTTATTTCTTGCTGTTTTGAGTTACTGTGTAGTATGTAGGGCAGGATTATTAGAGACAGTTTTTTGTTTTATTTCTCTTGAAGTGTCTTAATTTCTCCTTGATACTAATGCACATATACATATACATGTATACATATACATATATGTATCTATAAAGAAAAATGAATAGAAAAATAAGGATGCTTATTTCTCCATTTTTGAAGAATAGTTCTGCTGTATATATAATTTTGGGCTGACAACCTTTTTCTTCCTATACTTCAAGTGTATCATCCCATTGCTTCCTATTCACCATGACTTCTGATGAGAAGTCAGCTGTTAATCTTATTGAGGAGCCTTGTACATGATGAGTTGCATCTCTTGCTGCTTTCAAGATTCTCTCTCTGTTTCTGGCTTGCACCAGTTATATTATGAAGTGTACAAGCAGATCTCTTGAGTTTATTCTACTCGAAGTTCTTTGAGCTTTTTAGATACATGATAATCTTTCATCAAATTTTGGAAGTTTTCAACGATTCCTTTAAATCTCATGCCTCTTTATCCTCTTCTGGGACTCCTAAGGTGGTTCACTTGGTGGTATTCTACAGCAGTCTGAGACTCTGTACATTTTTCTTTATTTTTTATTTCTGTTTTTCAGAATAAATCATTTCACCTTACCTATCAGGTAATCAGGTTTGCTGATTCTTTTTTGTGCCTGCTCAGGTCTCTCTAGTGAAATTTTCATTTCATTTGTATTCTTCAACTCGAGAGTTTTTATTTGATTTTTAAAAATTTTCTCTTCATTGATATTCTGTATTTGGTGAAACATTCTCATTTAATTTTTCAAAATGGTTTACTTTAGTTCTCTGAATATATTTTAAATAGCTGATTTAAGGCCTTTGTCTAGTAAGTCTGGTGTCTCTGCTTCCTTAAGGATTATCTGTTAACTGCTGTTTTTTGTTTTCTGTATGTGAGGGCCATACTTTCTTGTGTCTTTGCATATCTTGTGATTTTTGTTGTTGGTGTTGAAAACTGGACATTTTAAATAACAAAATCTAGCAACTCTGGAAGACAGATTTTCTTCCCCTCCTCTAGGATTCATTGTTTTTAATGTTTGTTGCTGTTTGCTGGTTTGCTTAGGGATTTTTCTGAATGAATTCTGTAGTCTGTATCCCTTGTTTGTGGAAACTGAAGTTTCTGATCAGGTAGCTTAGTGTTTCGCTAATTACTGAACAGAGATTTCCTGAAACGCCTAGAACTAATAAGTCACTGACTATTTACCAAGGGACTCTGTATGCATGTTGGGTCATGCCTTCAACATTCAGAAAGGCGATTGACAATTCTGCGTTGGCTTTCACTTCCTCCTTGCTGAGAGTCCACGTTTTTTAGTTTCAAGACTTTTGTTTCCTTTTTTTTCTTTCTTTCTTTCTTTTTTTTTTTTTCTTTCTTTTTTTTTTTTTTTCCTTTGAGACAGTCTCACTCTTTGCCCAGGCTGGGGTGCAGTGGCATGATCTCAGCTCACTGCAACCTTCGCATCACATCCTGGGTTCAAGTGATTGTCGTGCCTTGGTTTTCTGAGTAGCTGGGATTACAGACATGCACCACCATGCCCAGCTAATTTTTATATTTTTTGTAGAGACAGGGTTTCGCCATGTTGGCCAGGCTGGTCTCAAATTCCTGGCCTCATGTGACCCATCCACCTTAGCCTCCTAAAGAGCTGAGATTACAGGTATGAGCTGCCATGCCCAGCCAAGATTTTTAATTTATTTGATGTCTGTTTTTTCATGATATTTTAGACTTAAGTCAACATTATTCCTTTTCTATTTTTTTCAGACAGTGTCTCTGTCACTCAGGCTGGTGTGCAATGGCATAAGCACAGCTCACTGCAGCCTTAATCTCCTTGAACTACAGGTGTGTGCCACTATACTGGGTGAGTTTTTTAATATTTAAAAATTTTTTTAAAGTAGTGACAGGGTCTTCCTGTGTTGCCTAGGCTTGTCTGAAACTCCTGACCTCAAGCAATCCTCCTGCTTTAGCCTTCCAGAGCACTAGGATTACAGGGGCCAGACAGTATACCTGGCCTATTCCTTCACTTAAAGCATCCTGAAATACTTACTTTGAAGTTTTTGTCACACTGTCCCATTAAATTAATTTCTTTTGAGCTGGATTGTTGTTTTCCCTCTCCCTCCCACTCCTCTCCCTACCACTGCACCTCCAGGTACACATACACCATCCCGTCCATCCCTCCCACAACAAACACCATCTCTCACTGGTTTTGCTACTGTTTTCATTCTAACCCTTCGCATCTCTAGTTTAGAACTAGGCCTTACATATTATATGGCATTTTGGAGCTCCTATTGTTCAATGAAATTTATGAAACTAGGAATATTGCAGATCTTGGCATAAGCCAGTGGATCTCTTGACTCAGTTTCTGGTCGTCAGACTGTTCTTTTTTTCTCACCTTATTACTACCAATGTGTAGCCCTACAGAGGTTTTTTTGTTCTCAAGTATTCTTTCATGAGCTCCAGGCTCAACCCTGGCTTCTAGCAATGAAGTTGGCTTTGTCTCTCCCTCTCCTGCACCCAATGAAACATTTTTAGTTTCAGTTACCCTACAAAAGTCAAACTCACACCTTTGTACTACCTCTTCCAGATCTAGAGCTCAGTAATCCTGCGGCTTCTACCTCCCTCTCACCATCTTGTTTTCTTATTCTACATGTCTTTCTCAGATGTTTATTTTGTGTTTAAGCCCAGCGAAGTCATTTTGAAGAAGAAGCCTCTCTTTTTATATGTTATTTATAGTTCCTCCAAATTTTGAATACAGAAAGTGCTCAGAGTATGAATTCACCAAACTATTTTGAATAGAAGTTTAATATAAACTTTTGAAGAGTAAAATATTTATTAAAACTCATAAAGCTAAAACATTTTTAATTTTAAACTTGCATACCATAAAAATTATCCTAAACTTTTTGTCCTAAAATAACAAAAGAATCTTACATGGACACATTAGTGTGATGGTAAAAGAATTGAACATAAATAAATGAAAGAACTATATTATCTGAAAGCTTATTCATAGAGGTGTTGAATAGAAGCTTGTGAGTTGCTGTGTCACTTGTTGCTTGGCAAATCACATCTTAAACTGGGGTACTTTTAGAATAAAATCTCATGTATGTCCTCTTCTAATTTCTCTTTTCAGACATCTGTTTTCCTCCATGATTGTAGAAAAGTTCACCCAGGATTATCTGTGGCTTTCAGTTGCAACTCGGCATCCCTGGAACCTGTTTACAAGAGTCCAGCGGCTGTCTTGCTGCATGACACTGCTCCTCTGCAACATGGTCATCAGCATTATGTTCTGGAAGATAAATGGCACCACTGGCAAGAGAGATGAGCAAAGTATGGATGTGCCCTGATATGGGTAGTAAGCAAAAGCAATCCTTTTTTTTTTTTTTTTTTTTTTTTTTTGAAATGGTCTCTCTCTGTTACCCAGGCTGGTCTAGAGCTCCTGGCTTCAAGTGATCCTCCTGCTTCAGTCTCCTGAAATGCTTGAATTACAAGCATGAGTCACCATGTCCAGCCTACTATGCAATACTTTTACTATACTCCACTCTCGTTACTTTCAGGATTAGAAACAGAATCATGTTGTGTGATATGGTTTGGCTCTGTGTCCCCACTCAAATCTCATATCCAACTGTAATCCCCCCAGTGTTGGGGGAGGGACTTGCTGGGAGGTGGCTGGATCATGGGGGCAGTTTCTCCCATACTTTTCTCATGATAGTGAGTTCTCATGATATCTGATGGTTTAATTGCTTGAACCCAGGGGGCAGACGTTGCAGTGAGCCAAGATTGTACCACTGCACTCCAGCCTCTGTCACGGGGAAAAAAAAGTGTGTGGCAGTTGCCCTGTCACTGTTTCTCCTGTACCATGTAAGATGCCTTGCTTTGTACAGCATGTGAGGTGTAATGCCATGTAAGGTGCCTTGCTTCCCCTTCACCTTCCACCATGATAGTAAGTCTCCTGAGGCTCCCCCAGCCATGCAGAACTGTAAGTCAATTAAACCTCTTTTCTTTATAAATTACCCAGTCTCAGGTAATTCTTTATAGCCGTGTAAAAACAGACTCATACATTGTGCCTTTTCTTACACTGCCCTAGCATTAGAACATTCTAAAAGATTTTCTCAGTGTTCTCATTCGTTAACAAATGAATACAATATAATCTTTACTGCCATGATAATTTTATTCCTAGATAAACATAGTTAGCTTCCTCAGTAAATAGTTAAACCTAGGAGGGGAACAACTTTGAGATTATTTTAATAGTTGAAGATAAAAGTTGATGTCATGCTTTTCTTTCAGTGGGTACGTTTGCTGTGGCCTGGTCTGAACTGCTCATCAGCATCCACACTGCTCTCATCCTCTTCCCAATCAATCTTGTCATTGGGCAGCTCTTCCCGTTGATTCAGCCACGGGAGACTGTGCCCCTCTTTCCTCCCATCCAGGTCTCCTGCCTCTTAGATGCTTCTGTTGAGTCTCTCTCTGTCACAATGGTAGTTGAGGTAAGTTTGGTATCAAATTTTATTTTATTTTTATTGCTTGCTTGTTTGTTTTGAGATAGGGTCTGGCTCTGTTGCATAGGCTTGAGTGCAGTGGTGCAATCTCAGCTCACTGCAGCCTCAGATTCCCAGGCTCAAGCAATCCTTCCAGCTCAGCCTCCCAAGCAGTGGAGACTACAGGCATGTGACACTACATCTGGGTAAATTTTGTATTTTTTTGTAGAAACAGGGTTTCACCACGTTGTCCAGGCTAATCTCAAACTCATGGGCTCAAGCCATCCTCCCACTTAGGCCTCCTAAAGTGCCAGGATTACAAGCGTGAGCCACCTTGCCCAGCTAGTATCAAATTTTACAGATGAATTACATGCTCTCCTTCCCCACACAGTGAAAGAGAGCAGTGGAAAGAATCTCATGAAAGGCCGTCTGGGTCCTTTTACCTGTAACGTATTTTTCCCAGTTCTTGTCCCCTGAGCTGTGATTAACCACATCTTTAGCTTTTACTCTTGGTTGTGAAGTATTCTGAGGACTAAGTGGGAGTGCATAGGTACCACTCTGGCCTGTTTTAGTCTTTGATGTTTGATCAAATTGTCTCTTTTTTCATTCCGCATTCTCTCATAAAACTGGTATTGCAGCTACTGTGAGCTGTGAGGTGACTGCTTTCTAAAAAATTCGAACATGAAAAATTGAGGTTCTTCATGCTAAGCAGATCCCCTTTTGACTAAAGAAACAGCCTTACCACCTGTAATTGCTACAAATCCCGAGTTAATGAAAAACAGGCTGATTTTTCTCATCTTGGTTCTATATTCAGGAATTAAGGGAAACTGTACAATTCCTGCTCAGGAGACATACATACCTACTCTCAGAGTGTGAACAACTGTCATGGAGTTCTTGCAACATTACTAAGCTGGTGGAACTTTTATCCAGCCTTCTGTCTTCTCACTTGGAGGGTCAAGGCTGTCATCAGGCAGAGCACCACTGGGCAAACGGTAAACTTGAGTAGATTTGAGTAATGAATGTTCCATCTGCCTCCCACTCCCTTGCCTGTTTCTTTCTTTCTTATTCATAATGCTGATACAACCTTCTGCTTGTTTTAATTGCCTTAACCTTCTAATATAGAGCTGATGGCTTTGTTCTCCTTGATGGCGTAGACAATCTATCTGGTAATACAAAGTATGGGTTTAAAAAAAACACACACACAGGCCAGGCATGGTGGCTTACACCTGTAATCTAAGCACTTCGAGAGGCTGAGGTGGGTGGATCACCTGAGGTCAGGAGTTCAAAACCAGCCTGGCCAACATGACAAAACCCTGTCTCTACTAAAAATACCAAAGTTAGCTGGATGTGGTGACACATGCCTGTAATCCCAGCTACTATGGAAGCTAAGGCAGGAGAATCCTTGAACCTGGGAAGCGGAGATTGCAGTGAGCTAAGATTGCACCATTACACTCAGCATGGGTGACAGAGCAAGACTCCGTCTCAGGAAAAAAAAAAAAAAAAAAAAAAATACAGGAAAAATGTTCTCTGGGCCAGATGCAGTGGCTCATGCCTGTAAGTCCCAGCACTTTGGGAGGTCAAGGCGGGTGGATCATGAGGTCAAGAGATCGAGATCATCCTGGCCAACATGGTGAGACCCTGTTTCTACTAAAAATACAAAAAGTAGCTGGGTGTAATGGCACGCACCTGTAGTCCCAGCTACTTGGGAGGCTGAGGCAGGAGAATCGCTTCAACATGGGAGGCAGAGATTGCAGTGAGCCGAGATCATGCCACTGTACTCCAGCGTGGGCGACAGAATAAGACTCCATCTCAAAAAGAAAAAGAAAAGAAAAAAGAAAAAAAATATTCTCTGTATTAGACTCACCTATCCCATCTGCTTTGTTGAAGGCTGTGGAAACTTGTCATCCTTTTTCTTTCATGAGATGGTGAGATGATGCAACCTATAGATAACAGTTGGAGTCTCGTGGGCACTAGTATAGGTCACATGTACTGCCATTCTGGCGAAGAAGTCAGTAAGGTTTTGAAAGTCTTCAGATCAAAGCTTAGAATTTTACAGTTGTTAAAATTCACCAGTATCCTCAGAGAAGATGGTAATACTGCAAGTGTTGGGTACAGTCCAATCTCTGCTAGTAGTGGGAAAATTTAGCCACCTCATCAACTAATGAATTGCTCATCTCTACGGCTAATTGCTACTTACTGAAATCCACTTGTGAAAGTGTCAACTTGAAATATATTTTCAGTTGTTCCTGAAAACCACCATCATTTCTGCTGTTACCTGTGTAGAGTTCTGCAGAGGCTAAAATCGCACTTAGGCACTCTGGGTCTCACCCAGGGTCACCAGACTTGTGACCTCCTAGCTGCAGCCAGCCATCTTCAAAAACTTCAGGAACTCTTGGAAACACACATGCTTCCCACGGAGCAAGAGCCATTCAGGTAATGCACCACACCAAGCCTTCTTTATCCCCTGTAAGCTTCCTCATCCTCTCTCTCAGCTGATGGGTACGAGATTATTCCTTCAACTTTTGTTCTTAAGGGAAGTCACCAGTTTCGCCATCCTGAGCTCAGAAGAAGGAAAAAGGCCCATCTCTAATGGCCTGTCCAAATGGTTGAGTTCATTCTGCTGGCTCCTCCTGGGTCTCACTAGCTTGGCTTCAGCCTTCTTTACAGCACTTTATAGCTTGGAATTGAACAAAGACCAAGCCACCAGCTGGATGATTTCAATTATTTTATCAGTGCTTCAAAATATCCTCATCAGCCAGCCAGTAAAGGTATGTGAGGAATGGGAAGAACCACTGGAGTTGCACAAGTTTGGGAAACTGAGGTCCCTTGGTGTCAATCCAAGGTGCCTAGTGGTTTTGACAATGTAACATAAACATCAAAAACCAAATAGGCAAACCAGGCTGGGCGCAGTGGCTCACACATGTAATCCCAGCACTTTGGGAGGCCAAGACGGGCAGATTGCTGGAGTCCAGGTATTCAAGACCAGCCTGGGCAACATTATGAAACTCCATCCCTACAAAAATTACAAAAACTTAGCCAGGCATGGTGGTGTGCTCCTGTATTCCAGCTACTTGGGAGGCTGAGGTGGGATCGGTTGGCCTAGGAGGTTGAGGCTTCAGTGAGCTGTGATTACACCACTGTACTCCAGCCTGGGTGACAGAACGAGACCTTGTCTCCAAAAAAAAAAAAATGGCAAACTGACATTTGTTATGGATATGTGTAATTCATCACAGAAAAAACTAAGAAGTATGGCAGAAACGGACTGGGAGCGAAGAGGACAGTAACCAGTAACAAATCAACAGCCTAAACCACTTCGAAAAAAACAACCAACAAAAAACTTAAATTTTTTATATTTAAGGAAAATGTCAAACCCACGCAAAAATGTAGAGATTAGTATACTGCATCCTAAAGTCCTATCACCCAGCTTCAATAATAACCAACTCATGGTCAATCTTATTTTGTCTGTTATGTTGAGGGAAAAATATCAGACTTCGTATCATTTTTTTCCATTTCACACATGTTAGTCTTTATATTTCTAAAAGTTATGGACTCTTCCTTTTAAAACGATTATAAATACAAAGAGACAGCTTGTGAGAATTTTGGGAGTGATGAAACTACTGGGGATCTTTTTTATTTTTTTAAGATAGAGTCTCATTCTGTCACCCAGGCTGGAGTGCAGTGGTGTGATCTCGGCTCACTGCAATCTCTGCCTCCCGGGTTCAAGCCATTCTCCTGCCTCAGCCTCCCAAGTAGCTGGAATTACAGGTACCCACCACTATGCCCAGCTAATTTTTTGTATTTTTCGTAGAGACGGGGTTTCACCATGTTGATCAGGCTGGTCTCAAACACCTGACCTCAGGTGATCCATCTGCCTCGGCCTCCCAAAGTGCTGTGATTACAGGCATGAGCCACTGCACCCAGCCAACTACTTGGTATCTCAAACCCCCCGTCTAGATACAAAGCCTGGCCCTGGCCCAAGCCCACCGGCCCAACCCTGGGAAGTCCAGTCAGGGCTGAGCAGACCACACTGCAGGCAGGCAGGTCCCAGAGAGAGAGGAATCACTGGCAGATTCTTCCTAGTGAAATAAGGTGGAGTAAGGGGAGTGTGGCCCCAGGCTGAGAATATCACCCCTCTTCATTCTCCTGAGGATTGGAATGGAACTTTCTTGCCCTCCATGGAAATCTAAGGGATGGAGGAATACTTGTTTACTCTAACAGATGCTTAAGGTCTTACTCGATTCTAAGATTCCTTAACTTCTTTTGCTAACCTGAGATTTCATCCTGGGACTTGTAAAAAACTGACTCTTCGCCAGGTGCAGTGGCTCATGCCTCTAATCCCAGCACTTTGGAAGGCCAAGGCAGGCAGATCACTTGAAGTTGGGAGTTCAAGACAACCCAGGTCAACATGGTGAAACCCCGTCTCTATTAAAAATATAAAAATTAGTTGGGGCCGGGCGCGGTGGCTCAAGCCTGTAATCCCAGCACTTTGGGAGGCCGAGGCGGGTGGATCACAAGGTCAAGAGATCGAGACCATCCCGGTCAACATGGTGAAACCCCGTCTCTACTAAAAATACAAAAAATTAGCTGGGCATTGTGGCGCGTGCCTGTAGTCCCAGCTACTCAGGAGGCTGAGGCAGGAGAATTGCTTGAACCCAGGAGGCGGAGGTTGCGGTGAGCCGAGATCGCGCCATTGCACTCCAGCCTGGGTAACAAGAGCGAAACTCCGTCTCAAAAAAAAAAAAAAAAAATTGGCTGGGCATGGTATGCATCTACAGTCCCAGCTACTTGGGAGGCTGAGGCAAGAGAATCACTTGAACCCAGGAGGCAGAGGTTGCAGTGAGCTGAGATTGTGCCACTGCATTCAAGCCTGGGTGACAGAGTGAGACTTCGTCTCCAAAAAAAAAAAAAAAAAAAAAAAGTCTGGATCTTCATGAGAGGTCTTCCAAAGACAGCGATATTACTGAATATCACAAATCGTTTGACAGTGTAAACTTCTCCAGCCAACCAGATTAAGAACTATAAGCAAAAAAGAGGAATATTAACAGTATTTAGAGTCTGCTGGCCCTTCTCCAGGTCCCCATCATTGTACAAAAATGACTGAAATTAGTTTAGTTTTCCATTGAAATAAAGGGCCGAAGCCAGGCACAGTGGCTCATGCCTGTAATCCCAGCACTTTGGGAGGCCAAGGTGGGAGGATCACAAGGTCAGGAGTTCAAGACCAGCCTGGCCAACATGGTGAAACCCTGTCTCTACTAAAAATGCAAAAATTAGCCAGGCATGGTGGCATGCACCTATAATTCTGCTACTGGGGAGGCTGAGGCAAAGAATTGCATGAACCCAGGAGGCAGAGGTTAGAGTGAGCCAAAATCATACCACTGCCTTTCAGCCTGGGCAACAGAGCAAGACTGCATCTCAAAAATAAAAATAAAAAATAAATGGCCAAATAATTGAAGTTTTTCAATTATGCCCACCTCTTTACATAAGGTATCATCTTCTGGGTCTGTAATTCCTGCTCACAGTGTTCTCCTGTGGTTTTCCTGCGCAGGTGGTCGTCTTCACATTCGTCCACTCACTGATGATGAGCAGGGTGCCACGGCTTCACAAGGAGAAGGAACAACAGACCAAGAGGATCTTGGCACTCTCGGGTAACGCAAGTAGTTCTAACAACTACCTAATTTTTCAAAAAGCAAATTAGATCAGATCAGTGGTACTCTGGCCACCTTGCTGACTCAGATAAATTAACCCATTCAAAGGACTTGTCTCTAACCAACTGGTTATTTCTCTTCTGCCCAAGACTAATGCACTTCCAGGCGAGGATCCTCACCTAGATCATCGCATTCTCCCTCCTAGTGCTTCATCTCTCCCCTGCAGTTTATTTTTACGTTTTTGAGATGAAGTTTTGCTCTTGCCGCTCAGGCTGGAGTATAATGGCGCGATCTCGGCTCACTACAAGCTCCATCTCCTGGGTTCAAGTGACTCTCCTGCGTCAGCCTCCCGAGTAGCTGGGATTACAGGCCTCTGTCACCACACCCAGCTAATTTTTTTGTATTATTAGTAGAGATGAGGTTTCCCCATGTTGGCCAGGCTGGTCTTGAACTCCTGACAGATGATCCACCCTCCTCGGCCTCCCAAAGTTGTGGGATTACCAGTGTGAGCCACTGCACCCAGCCTCCCTGCATTTTAGATCTCCTTTTCATCTGTCTGTCTCCCTCCTTTCTCCTCTCTCTCTCCTCCCTTCCCTCCCTCCCCTCCCTCCCTCCCATGAGCTGGAGGTGCCATTTTCCACGGCTCCCTATCTGGAGCTTCATGCCTCCAAGTGTGACTGAATCATTTGCCTCCCCACAAATCCACTTCTTTACTATATCTTCTCATTCTCATCAAGTGCATTAGCATTCTCTAAAAAAGTCAGAATACATAATCCTAAATTCCTCTCGTAGTTTCAACATTTAGTGACCAAGCCTGAGAAAGCCTACTCTCTAAATAACTGGCTAGGGCTAACTTATCACCTGGGTGAACCTCAGAAACACAATCTTGGGCAAAAAGGAGCTTGCAGAAAAATTGGCACAATATTTTAATAACGTAAAAACGATGCGTATCTTGATTGGAGGATACACATGTATCTCTTCTATGCATTTATAGATAAAGTATAAAGAAATGCATAGAAATGACGAACTCCAAAATTCAGGAAAGAACTGCCTCTGAGGGAAAGCAGGGGAAAATGCCATCACAGAGGGGTACGCAATAGACTTGATGTTGCCAGTCACTTCTTTTTTTTTTTTTTTTTTTTTCTTTTTTGAGACGGACTCTCATTCTTGTTGCCCAGGCTGGAGTGCAGTGGTGCAATCTTGGCTCACTACAACCTCTACCTCCAGGATTGCAGCGATTTTCCTGCCTCAGCCACCCAAGTAGCTGGGATTACTAGCATATGCCACCATACCTGGCTAATTTTTGTATTTTTAGTAGAGATGGGGTTTCACCATGTTGGCCAGGCTGGTCTTGACCTCCTGACCTCAGGTGATCCAACTGCCTTGGCCTCCCAAAATGCTGAGATTACAGGCATGAGCCACGTCACCTGGCCTCCTAACAGTCACTTATTTTTTAAGCGGTGATCTACTGCTAAGCAGTAGGCACTCCATTCCTTGTGAGATGAAAAAACTTAATCTGACTTGAAACTGCCTCCTGTCCATGACCAGCCGGCCAACATAGTGAAACTCTCTCTACAAAAAAATACAAAATTAGCTGGGTATGGTGGTACCCGCCTATAATCCCAGCCTCTTGGGAGGCTGAGGCAGAAGAATCCCTTGAACCTGGGAGGGGGAGGTTGCAGTGAGCTGAGATCGCACCATTGCACTCCAGTCTGGGTGACAAGAGCGAAACTCCATCTCAAAAATAATAATATTCTGACTTCCCTGCACGCACTTTAATTCTCTATGCATTCTGAACTGTTGGTCTCTCTGCCTAAAAAAGAGGTTTTTTTTCCCCCTTATCCTCACCCTTGTTCATCTGGAGAGCTCTGATTAATCCTTCAAAATAAATGTCAAATGTCACTTCCTCTGTGAAGCCTTCTCTGACTTTCTTGGAGAGATTTATTTGCTGACTCTTCACTGATCCCATGGTACTTGGCACATACATGCTGCAACTTTCATGCCTTCCTCTATTTTTTTTTATTTTAATTTTTTTTAGGTGGAGTCTTGCTCTGTCACCCAGGCTGGGGTCCAGTGGCATGATCTCGGCTCACTGCAACCTCTGCCTCCCAGGTTTAAGCAATTCTCCTGCCTCAGCCTCTAGAGCAGCTGGGATTACAGGTGTACACCACGATGCCCAGCTAATGTTTTATATTTTTAGTAGGGACAGAGTTTCGCCATGTTGGCCAGGCTGGTCTCGAACTCCTGAGCTCAGGTGATCGGCCCGCCTTGGCCTCCCAAAGTGCTGGGATTACAGGCATGAGCCACCACACCTGGCCTCATGTCCTCCTCTAATTCACTGGCTTTCTCTCACTCTTAATCCGTCTCTAGATTCTTCTATTCATGGCGTTGTGTGCAGACCAGCAGCACTGTCATCTCCTGGAATTGTCAGAAATGCAGAATCATTTTAGCAGTTATCCATGGGGTGGAAAAATTAAAAGTAAAAAAATTAAAAATAAAAACATAGAAATGTAGACTCTTAGGCCCCACCCCAGAATCTTTATTTTAACAATATTCCCAGATGATTCCTATGCACATTAACATGTGAGAAATGCCACTATAGAACAGTGTTATCAAAGTGTGGCTCACAGACTAGAACTGTTTGTTTCTAGTCTAAGATAAGTACAGGAATCAAGAATAAGCATTTGAAAACTTGAGCAATTTGACAGCCTAACTTTATACCTATTAAATCTAATTTTCAAAAACAGGCTTTGTATTTTACCTGCTTTTGCTTAATTTTTTTCTTTTTTTATATATGTTTTAATTTTTTTTTTTTAAAGACAGGGTCTCAGGTGGATCACCTGAAGTCAGGGTTCGAGATCAGCTTGGGCAACATAGCAAACCCCCTCCCAAAGTGCTGGAATTACAGGCATGAGCCGCTGTCCTCAGCCTGGTGACTATTGCATAGAAGTAATCAGTCTCCAGTTGACTGGAATTTTTTAAAAAACAGGTCCCTTATAATAGAGAGTTTAAGAAGCACTGCATAGGTAGTTTTACTCCTTGTTTCTTCAGGATTTAAATGGAGGTGCTCACATAGATGCTCAATGAATGGTGAGTGACCGCTTAATGAAATATAACATTTCTTTGGTCTACATTTGAATTTTTGACAGCAAAATGTTCTTCATCGGTACCAGGTTCAAGAGATAAGAACAACCCCATCTACGTAGCCCCAACTATGAATAGTCCAACTAAGCACCCAGAAAGAACCCTGAAAAAGAAGACACTCTTCAAGCTGACTGGAGATATTTTGGGTATGGAGAGGAAATGGCAACATATTGGTAATACAACACTTTTTTCAGAAGGGAAAGGAAGAGAGAGAATAAAATGGAAAATAAAGAAGGGTTCAAAAGCTATCTTTTAAGATCTTCAGCTTGTGAGATTTGGGATTCCAGCAAAGCAGGTGGGATGGTAACTGGACAGACCCCTGACCTTGGAGTCTAGAGATTTCTTTTTTTTTTTTTTTTTTTGAGACGGAGTTTCACTCTTGTTACCCAGGCTGGAGTGCAATGGCGCGATCTCGGCTCACCGCAACCTCCGCCTCCTGGGTTCAGGCAATTCTCCTGCCTCAGCCTCCTGAGTAGCTGGGATTACAGGCACGTGCCACCATGCCCAGCTAATTTTTTGTATTTTTAGTAGAGACGGGGTTTCACCATGTTGACCAGGATGGTCTCGATCTCTCGACCTCGTGATCCACCCGCCTCGGCCTCCCAAAGTGCTGGGATTACAGGCTTGAGCCACCGCGCCTGGCCTAAGTCTAGAGATTTCATTGTGTGCTTGAGTATGTCACTTTTTCCACCTGCAAAATGTAGTAACACTTGATCTACGGAGGGAAAATGAAAATGATTTGGCAAAAGCCTATTCTGGAGGTGCTAGCTGACTGGCTTCAACACATCTGGTTCATTATTGTATTCTCGAATCCAAAGAAGACAAATTCTGTTTATATCATGGCTTCGCTTCTAGTGAACACAGTCAGATAAGTGAGATGGGGTGCACGCTTAGTCCTTAGAGCTAAACACAACATTTCTTGTGTGGGCTTTTATGTATCTTTGTCTTTTTTTTTAATGGAGTCTCACTCTGTCGCCCAGGCTGGAGTGCAGTGGTGCAGTCTCAGCTTACTGCAACCTCTGCTTCTGAGGTTCCAGCGATTCTTCTGCCTCAGCCTCCCGGCTAGCTGGGGTTACAGGCATGCACAACCACACCCAGCTAATTTTAATATTTTTAGTAGAGAGGAGGTTTCACTGTGTTGGCCAGGTTTGTCTCAAACTCCTGACCTCAGGTGATCTGCCTGTCTCGGCCTCCCAAAGTGTGAGGATTATAAGTGTGAGCCACTGCACCTGGCCTGTGTATCTTATTTTAAGTAAAATGTATGATTAGTGGCAGAATAATTCTGGGAAGAAAATGTGTATGTGTGTATTTATAATTATTAGATTGAACCATATGAAATTGCCATTTTTTTTACTGGCTTTGACCTACATATGTCTATAGACTTAGGAAAAATGAAGAAAAAGGCATAGACAATTGCTCAGTCAACCACTCAACTATGACATTTTTTTCCTCTTCTAAACTAGTACAAATCTTCTTCCTTACCCTGTTGATGACTACAATCTACTCTGCAAAGAACTCCAATAGGTTTTACCTCCACCAAGCTATCCGGAGGACCTTTGCTCACCGTTTCTCAGAAATCAAGCTTCTTCAGGATTTCTATCCCTGGGCCAATCACATCCTCCTTCCTAACCTGTATGGGGATTACAGAGGTAAGAATGCAGTCCTGGAGCTCAGTCATTGCAAATGTGGGATACAATTAATTTTCCAAATACCCGCTACCAAGACCCATGAGAAAGTGAGGAAGGTCAGCTGGCTTTTATTGATACGGCCATACCTGTGGGTGTCCCAAGGGCCTATTCCCTGAACATCATCTAAGCGGGTTCAGTTATATCTGTTCACCCAGGCCTAAGGGGCTGATTTCCACTGATGAGCTTCACAAAAAGCTGACAGGAATGAGAATGGTTTCAGTGACATCATGAGAAGGAACTGGAGTGACCCCTGGGACTCAACCACACGTAGCAAAGAAGGCTGTTAGATAAGTGCAAAACCAGGAATGTGGTTTCGCTGGAAAGATCTCCGCATAAGATGCTATTCTGGCCTGAGCCATCTTCCCCAGTCTGAGTGTGTCTCTGTAACTTTACCTTTGTTTGGATGGGTACCCAGTTCAGCCCCCACAAACATGCATGGGACTCCTGTAATAAGCTGGGAACTGTCCTAGAAGCTAATGATAAAAAGATGGACCTGATAGGGTTTGCATCTTCAAGGAACATCACCATGCAGAGGAGTTAGTACGCTTTGCTGTGGACAGTGATGAAGAAATGCTAAAGAATGACTTTCTTAAGGAATGCATCTTTTTTTTTTTTTTTTTTTTGGTCTGTTTTTTGTTTTTGAGATAGTCTCAGTCTGTCATGCAGGTTGGAGTGCAGTGGCATGATCATAGCTCAGTGAAACCTCTGCCTCCTGGGTTCAAGCAATTCTCCTGCCTCAGCCTCTCTGCTAGCTGGGGTTGCAGACATGCATCACCACACCTGGCTAATTTTTTTTTTTTTTTAAGACGGAGTTTTGCGTTTATCACCAAGACTGGAGTGCAGTGGTGTGATCTAGGCTCACTGCAGTCTTCACCTCCTCGGTTCCAATGATTCTCCTGCCTCAGCCTCCCGAGTAGCTGGGATTACCGGCATATGCCACCACACCTGGCTGATTTTTGTATTTTTGGTAGAGATGGGGCTTCATCATGTTGGCCAGGCTGGTCTCAAACTCCTGACCTCAAGTGATCCACCCGCCTCAACCTCCCAAAGCACCAGGATTACAGGAATGAGCCACCACGTCTGCCAGGAACATTTCTTGATCAGTATTTTTCCACCAGTTACCAACTCTGTCATTATATAACTGTAGATCGTGTTAAGTAAAGCTGCATTCTGAAAATTGTTACATTGATTTATCTCAGGATTGGTGGCTTCCTGATGAGATTTGGATCATCTAGGTTCCTGAAAAAGAATGTAAAATACATTTTTATCTCAGCAAACATTTACAGTCTTTTCTTAAAGGTGTGGTTGGTGTATTTGGGTGAGTTTTTATAGATGACAGCTCCTGTTTATTGCATGTTGAATCTATTTAGTTCAATTTTTTAAAAAAATTTTACTATTAGAGTCAGGATCTCTCTCTCACCCAGGCAAGAAGACAGTGACAGGATCTCATCACACTACGGCCTTGAACGCGTGGGCTCAAGCAATTCTCCTGCCTCAGCCTCCTGAGTAGCTGTGACTACAGGAGTGTGCCACCATGCCCGGTTAATTTTTCTTTTTTTTACAGACAGTGTCTCGCTATGTTGCCCAGACTGGTGATGTTAGTTCAGTTTTAGGTGGTAACAGTTCTGGATTCAGGGTATGTTCTTCCCCGCCCCCCCCCCCGCCCCCGCCAAGAAACTGTTTTACTCTGTTGTCCAGGCTGGAGTGCAGTGGTGTGATCTCAGCTCAGCTCACTGCAACCTCCACCCATCAGGTTCAAGCAATTCTCCTGCCTCAGCATCCTGAGTAGCTGGGATTATAGGCGCCCGTTACCATGCCTGGCTAATTTTTATATTTTAGTAGCAGTAAGGCTTCACCGTGTTGGCCAGGCTGGTTTTGAACTTCTGACCTGAGGTGATTCAGCTGCCTCGGGCTCCCGAAGTGCTAGAATTAAAGGCATAACTCATCATGTCCTGTCCAGGGCACATTACTTGCAGTCTGTAAATCTACCTTGTGCTGAACAAAATAATGAATCAAAATAACTGGACCAGGCCCAGTAGCTTATGCCTGTGATGCTAATGCTTTGGGAGGCTATAGCAGGGGGATCTGTTGAAACCAGTAGTTCAAGACCCAGCCTGGGCAACATGGCAAGATCCCATCTCTACAAATATTACATAAATTAGCCAGGCATGGTTGCACATGACTATAGGACCAGCTACTTGGGAGCTTGAGGTAGGAGGATGATTTGAGCCCAGGAGTTCAAGGCTACAGTGAGCCATGATTGCACCACTACACTCTATTCTGAGCAGAACCAGACCCCATCTCAAAAACAGTGGGCCAGGTGTAATCCTCACATCTGTAATCCCAGCACTTTGGGATGCTGAGGTGGGTGGATCATGAGGTCAAGAGATCGAGACCATCCTGGCCAATATGGTGAAACCGCGTCTCTACTAGAAATTTTTTAAAAATTAGCTGGGTGTGGTGGCACACGCCTGTAGGCCCAGCTACTCAGGAGGCTGAGGCAGGAGAATTGCTTAAACCGGGGAAGCGGAGGTTGCAGTGAGCCGAGATCACACCACTGCACTCCAGTCTGGTGACTGAGCGAGACTCCATCTCAAAAAAGAAAAAAACAAAAATAGTGACTGGATCTCTGGCTGTGGTCTGCACCATCATGGTAGGCATAGTCTCTCTTGTACTCGTTGACTATAGTATGTAGTGTCTTGGCCGGGCACAGTGGCCAGGCCTGTAATCCTTGAGCCCAGGAGTTAACGACCAGCCTGGACAACATAGTGAGACATTGATCTGTTTTTTAAAAATCGAAAAATTTGAAAAAGAATCATTTTGCAAATCAGTAAAATATGAATCTGGAGAAAATCTAGCCAGGCACAGTGGCTCATGCCTATAATCACAGCACTTTGGGAGGCCAAGGAGGGAGGATCACTTGAGCCCAGGAATTTAAGACTCAGCCTAGGCAACATGGTGAAAACCCCATCTCTACAAAAAATATGCAAACTAGCTGGGCATGGTAACACACACCTGTGGTCCCAGCTATTTGGGAGGCTGGGGTGGGAGAATTGCTTGAGCCTGGGAGGCGGAGTAAGACCATGCCTCCAAAAAAAAAAAAATCCAAGTGGACAACAAGGGTATATTGTGCAACTCTTCCTCGTCCCCTAGTCCCGCTTCTCTCAAGAAGCAGCTGCATTTCCAGTTTATTATATATTCTTTCAGAGGTAATGGCCACATGTGGTGACTCACTTTGTGAGTATAATCCTAGCACTTTGGAAACAAGGCAGGCATATCACGAGGTCATGAGTTCAAGAGCAGCCTGACCAACATGGTGAAACCCCGTCTCTACTAAAAATAAATTAGCTGGGCATAGTAGTGGGTACCTGTAATCCCAGCTACTCAGGAGGCTGAGGCAGGAGAACTGCTTGAACCCAGGAGGCGGAGGTTGTGGTGAGTCAAGATGGCACCACGGTACTCCAGCCCAAGTGACAGAGTGAGAGTCCGTCTCAAAAAAACAAAACAAAACAAAAAAACACCGAGGTAATGTATGCATTTGCAAATACATTTGACGATGAATGATAGCATGCTATAAAAATTGCCATGTGGCCAAGGGCAGTGGCTCACACCTGTAATCTCAACACTTTGGGAGGCTGAGGCGGGCAGATCACCTGAGGTCAGGAGTTAGAGACCAGCATGGCCAACAGGGTGAAACCACATCTCTACTAAAAATACAAAAAATGAGCCGTGCATGGTAGCACGTGCCTGTATTCCCAGCTACTTGGTAAGCTGAGGCAGGAAACGCACTTGAACTGGGGAGGTGGAAGTTGCTATGAGCTGAGATTGTGCTACTGCATTCCAGCCTGGGCAACAGAGTAAGACTGTCTCAAAAAGAAAAAAATTGTCATGCATTTTGCTTTTTTCCATTAACAATTTATCTGGGGCTTGTTCTATCGGAAAATATGAAGCTGCCCCTATTATGTTTTATTCACATACTGTATAGTATTCCATTGCATAGATATACCATAATTTATATATCTAGCTCCCTTTGGATAGATATTTAGATCATTTCCAGTCTTACTGTTAGCAAGAATATCATTAATATCCTTGTACATACTTAATTCCACAAAGGTGCAAATATATCAAAAGATAAATACCTTGAAAAGGACTTGCTAGGTCTAAGTATATACACATTTTTAATTTAGAAAGACATTGCCAGATTGTCTTAGTGTACCAATAAACACTCCTATTAGCAATATATGGCTGGGTATGGTGGGTTACATCTGTAATCCCAGCACTTTGGGAAGGCAAGGCAGGTGGATCACTTGAGGTCAGAAGTTCGAGACCAGCCTGATCAACATGGTGAAACTCCATCTGTACTTAAAATATATATAAATTAGCTTGACCTGGTAGTGCATGCCTGTAGTCCTAGCTGCTCAGGAGGTTGAGGCAGGAGAATTGCTTGAACCTGGGAGGCAGAGGTTCCAGTGAATCAAGATCATGCCACTGCACTCCAGCCTCGGTGACAGAGCAAGACTCTGTGTCCAAAAAAAAAAAAAAAAAAAAAAAAAAAAAACAAGAAGCAGTGTATGACAGCGCCTGCCCACATCCCCAGCAGACAACCTGGTAAAAATTGGTGTTTCTAAACAATTCAGGTGTCCCTGAAATACATGAAAGACTTTGCAGCTGCACTCAGAGAAATCCAAGTTCAAACTAAACTAAGATACCCTTTTCCCCTTCTCATAGGGGCAAGACTTGCCCATATGCTTTTGCCTTTTTTCATTCAATCCTTCCCGTATTCTATTTTTAAGACATACATCTGTGTTACTTCACTGTTCAAAACCTCCCAGTAGATTCCCATCAAACTTAAAGTCCCAAGTCCTTCCAAAGCTTACAAGGGCCTGCCTAGTTTGGCCCCTGGTTGTACCTGTTACGTCATCTCTTACTCCTCTGACCAATCACAGTACTGCAGCCACTCAGGCGTCTGTGTTTTCCTTAAATATGTCAAGCTTGCTCTCACTCAGGGCCTCGGAACTTGCTGTTCTCCTGGCGGCTGATATTTACACTGTGTGCCCCTGACTGTATTAGGGCCTCTCCTACACCACCTTCCCAGAGAAAGCTGCTCTAATGCATGGCTCCTCCCCAGAGCACTCTTCATCCCCTTACTCTGCTTAATTTTTCTTCATAGCTCTTATTATTACCTTAATGTTATTTGGTTATTGCCTGTCTCTCTCGCTTCTCAAATACGGGCTCTCTGTGGC